ATTAGAAACTTGGTTAATCACGATCCGCGTTATGCAATTGACGAATCCGTACGGATTTCTTTAAATCTTAGAATGATCTTAAGTAGTAAATGAACGCGACAGCAAGTACAGAATTGGTACTTCACGTTTGGCTTTTCTTTCATAAGTTAAAAGTGTTTCCCCAATCTTCCTGGTCTTCTTTCTCATACGAAACGCAGCAGCCGAGAAGCGGTATATAAAAAGTATGCTCGTGTACTTGGAGGGCTGAGGTTTTTTTCCCAATGCAGAAATCGAAGAAAGAATAAGTACACGTACAAATCGAGATAGGACGGAGTCAGAATATCACATTTTTAACGATAATCGCTTATGCAAACTTCTTTCATTCAAAAGTGCCGCGAGTTTTAAAAGAAACACGGTTGAAAATAAAGTACGTAGAATAATCGAATTATTCCCATAAACCATGATGTAACGCAAATGTCGATCATGTGATTACGTGTACGTCTGACTAGTATACTGACCTGGTCCTATCCAGTTACGTAATACATTACCCTGGCCGAGGGTTGATTAAAATATCGAGAGGGCCACGCAACGATAGATCTAGATGGTAACTAGATGATCCTGTAAAGGATCGATATAATAATAATAATAATAATTCGTACGATTTTATTCAGGAGAACCTGATGGACTCGAGGAACGTGCCGTCGAACGTGTATCTGAAGAGCCTGATGTCGCCGCTGTCGGTGAGCCTGGAGAATCACCAAATGGTGCCTCAGTGTCCGGATTCCAGAGGGTCCAGCGTTTCCTTCGACTGTGAGCTGAGCCCAGCGGCGAGGAAACAGCTGGCTGGTGGCACGTTTTCGAACGTAGGATCGATCGTCTCGCCATCGTCCTCGCTGATGGTGCCGTACAACAGTTTCGATTACGATCCGAGTATGTCGGCCAGTGGATTGCTTCAAGTGGAACCGGATCTCTTTGGGACTTTGCTGGACCGGAATCTCGTTTAGGCGTTTAGGTACATTCGTGTTCGACCAGGCGAGGGAGATTCAAGCCGATGACAGAGGGATATATATATATATATATAT